AAATTCCTTTGATTAGCGCCCTTGGAGAGCGGATTGAGTTTTCACGGTGTTCAAGGTGTTCACGACGTCATGGTGCTTATGGTGCTCGTCGAGAGAAACGAAATAAATCAACACCCGTTTGAAACTCTCTGCGTCTTGATCAATCGATCCGAGGGGCCGCTACAGTCCGACCACTAACAGAGCTGTGCAAAGGGTATCCTCCCACCCAAAAGAAACACAAGTCTACCTCAGCATCAGATAAGACTTACTACAAAGTCAATGAGCCTTTTGGGGACCGGTGGGACCAGGCATGTTCCGAGGCATTCAAAAAGATCATCCACTGCCTCACAAATGCACCTGTGCTGGCATTCGCCGACCCTCTCAAGCCTTATATACTTCACATAGATGCCAGTTTCCAAGGGCTTGGAGCTGTCCTCAACCAAGAGTACCCTGAGGGCTTGAGACCTGTTGCTTTTGCAAGCCGCAAGCTGAGTGCCTCTGAGAAGAACTATCCTGTGCACCAGCTTGAGTTTTTGGCACTTAAGTGGGCAGTGGTGGACAAGTTCCACGACTACTTGTATGGAGCACAGTTTACCGTGAGGACTGATAACAACCCCCTAACTTATGTTCTCACGACTGCCAAACTCAATGCGACAGGTCACCGCTGGCTCTCGGCACTCGCCACGTACAATTTCACCCTGCAGTACAGGCCTGGCAGCAGCAACATCGACGCCGATGCCCTGTCACGCAACCCTTGTCCGAACACAGAAGAAGGTTGGCAAACTGTATCGACTGAAAGTGTTCAAGCCCTGTGCAAGCAGATCAAGTGCTGTGAAACTCCAACAGAGTCCACAACGATGGCCGAGTCCCTTGGAGTGTCACCTGATGGTATACCAGAGTGTTTTGCCTCCCCAGTTTGGTTGGATCTCGGTTCTTTGAGTCAGCTCAGTTACAAAGACCTGGTCACCGCTCAAGATGTTGATCCTACTATCGCTCCAGTCAAGCAGTCGCTTTGTGGTGGTTCATCATTCATCAGCCCCGATAATCCAATTTCTGTCCTGTTGAACAAAGAAGTAAGCAAGCTGTTCATTCAAAACCATCTGCTCTACAGAAAGGTTGAGAAAAAGGGGACGGAGGTAAAGCAGCTGGTACTGCCAAGAGAGTATGTTCCGATGGTCCTGAGATCTTTGCATGATGAGTCAGGTCACTTGGGAATGGACAAGACCATTGAGTTCATCAGAAACCGGTTCTATTGGCCGAAAATGGGAGTTGAAGTGGAGCAGTACATCAAAAACTGCGGCAGATGCATCACTCGCAAAGCCCTTCCTCAGAGAGCTGCTCCCTTAAAACAGATTACCAGCCAAGGCCCTCTAGACCTAGTCTGTATTGATTTTCTGTCACTTGAGTCAGACTCTCAAGGTTTCACCAACATCCTTGTAGTGACTGACCACTTTACTCGATATGCCCAAGCTTTTCAAGCCAAAGACCAGAAGGCGGTCACCGTTGCCAAGATACTGTGTGAGCGCTACTTTGTACACTACGGACTCCCTGCCCGCATACATTCGGATCAAGGCCGCGATTTTGAGAGCAACCTGATCCAAGATTTACTGAGGATGTTGGGTATTCGTAAGTCAAGAACAACGCCTTACCACCCTCAAGGAGATCCGCAACCAGAACGATTTAACCGTACGCTCTTGTCAATGCTGGGCACACTTGATTCAAAGCAAAAACAAAGATGGAGTCAAAAGATCAGTCAGTTAGTCCATGCCTTCAACTGTTCTCAAAACGACGCAAATGGGTATTCGCCCTACCTGCTAATGTTTGGCAGAGAAGCTCGCTTACCGGTAGACATCTGTTTTGGCGTGGCCGAGGACGATCAAAAGACCAAGTCCTACCATCAGTATGTTGCTAAGCTAAAGAAAGATCTCCAAAGAGCCTACCGTCTTGCAACTGAAGCGTCAGACAGTAATCACCAAAGAAATAAAAAAGCACACGACAAGCACGTCAAAGAACAAGTCCTTGACAAAGGCGACCGGGTGTTGCTGAGAAACCTTGGGGTCACAGGCAAGCACAAATTGAAATGCAAGTGGTTACCCTCACCATATATTGTTATGGAGAAGCTACCCAACTTACCTGTCTACAAGATCAAGCCAGAGAGGGGCATGGGAGCCGAAAAAACTATTCATCGTAACCACCTGTTACCCATTGGTTACCTGGTGAGAATCCCTGTCGACGAAGGTGAAGTGGGGGCACAACACAGACCTGTGACCAGAGCATTGCATCAACAGACAAAAAAACGAGGACCGACAACCAACCAAGATGACGACGTGTCCTCAGAATTAGAGTATGACGAAGTATACCTGCCAAGCCCCCTTGAGTTAGACTGGGACAAGTTGCTGACATGTCCAGAACTGTCCCGCAATCCGAGCCAATTGTCACCGAACCTGAAAGACAAGTTCACGACCCGGTTGAAATAGAGGCAGCGGTCAATAATCTGACCAACCTGCCTCCCAACGCTGATCCAGAGGTCGACGTTCTAGAGGGGGAAGCAGACGTCAATCCCTATCCGGACACTCAAGCTGAGAGTGGACAAGCTGAGCATTCAAAACGAGTAATTCGTCCAGTGGTCAAGCTGAGCTACGATGAACTGGGCAAGCCTTGTGACCACCCTGTGACAGTCCTAAGCCATGGCGTGTTGGTGGGAAGTGGACTCTATGGAGACTCCAGGAGCGGTGTATGTCAAACTCTCTGGTGCCACCCCATGGCGTTGTGTTACACTTGTTTTAATCCGGTCCCTAGTGTTGGCTGGTAGACTATTAGAGTTCTCTAAGGTTTATTTTGATGAGGGCATCAAAATGTCCAGAAGGGGGAGAGTGTAGTCCCGTGGTGACTTAGGACTATAGTCATACTTTCAAAACTAGGTGCCTGCCTATAAAAAGAAAAAGTAAATGTTTATTTTACATTAAATACATAATAGGGGACACCTGATTTCTAAGTGGGGAGATGTTTATTTGTTGTGCATGGAGTAATGTTTGTCATAGTGATGAATACTAATGTTAAGTTCATGTTTAGTTAAATACTATCTCCAGAGGCTTTAGGCCGTTAGTCTTTTAGTACTTACTGTTTGTTACCGTATTATTGGTCAGTGGTGTATTCGCGCTGTATAGCCAATGGTGATTGGTTGGGAAAACAACGGGGAAGACACGTGACTGGAAAGTTCTGGAAGTTTTTGGGGGTTCGAGGAGGAGAGAAGAAGTCGTGAAGAGACGGGACGCCGGCGTTTTTGGGGAAGAGAAAAAGACGCTAGCAGGAGACAAGAAGGCAGAATAAACCGGCGCGGGAGGCTGGAAGGAGTGGACCGCGGACTCTGTGTGTTTGTGAGCCTGGAAACGGAGGAGAAACCAAAGCTGAAACCCCGTCGGACGGAGCGGGGGAGAAGCAGCGGAGGTCGCCATCGAGGGAGCCGAGCTTGCTAGCCACGGTGGGCGTGGCCGGGCGGACGTGTCGGTGACTCGCATCGCGGATCCGAGTTTCCACGCTCTCAATGTTTTGAAAGTGATTTCGGCGCTCTCAATGTTTTGCCAGACCAAACAGGTCTGCAACGTGTTTTCTTTCCGTACATATCGTTGCCGTGAGTAACTGGAACATGTGTGGCTGTGTGTGGTGATTGGGCCCAACACCGCATCGGCTGATACTTGTTTCATGACACTTGGAGGGGAAAGTTTTTGTTGTTATTGTTGAACTCTGGTATTCTCCGAGTTGAGGAACGGGAACATTTCGAACATATATTTTGATGTAACGTCCTTGATACTATTGGGTTTGTATGACTGAATTTGGAGTTTATTATTTATGTTTTGGGGAAGTTTTGGTTATTTATTTTTCTCTATTTGGTAATATTGGGTTTTGGGGGAAATTAATTATTGTATTTAAATAAACAAGGGCGTTGCCCTATTTATTTTACTTTTGTTAAAAGAACATCCATCTCTGGGTCTCATTTATTTTTTAAATAGCTTCTTGCTAAAAGGTTTTACGATATATCGAACCCAAGCACCCCCCATTCTCACGTGAGTGACTCACAGAGTGGTGATACGGGTGCTACATATATATATATATATATATATATATATATATATATATATATATATATATATATATATGTTATATTGTATTTAGTATATATGGTGTATATGGTATATGGTATGGTATATATCTGTGTTAGCCCTGCGATTGGCTGGCGAACAATCCAGGGTGTACCCCGTCTCTCGCCCGAAGTTGGCTGGGATACACTCCAGCCCCCCCTGCCCGACCCTGTGTGCAGGATAAGCGGTTTGACGATGGATGGATGGATCGATTTCATTTGGCAAACACATCTTACAGTGGCATTTGTCTGGACTTTGAATGTGCAAACTGGTGTGCAATATCTTCAAAATCAAGGGCACTAACAAGTTCATGTTTGATGGCCAAGAGAGAACGTGCAGAGAGCCGTGTCTGTGACATTGTGGTCCTCAGCTCATTTTTAACTTGTTTCAAAACAGAAAACGACCTCTCACCCTCACAGTTAGACACCGGCAAGGTTAAAAACATTCTTAGTGCAACATAAACATTTGGAAATGTTGTCTTAGGTCCATGTCTCTCAAGAGCTTGCAGAAGCTGTACAGGTGAAGTCTCAAGTGCTTGAACTGAATAAGTTTGTCTGAGAAGGAACTATCCAGATCTGTCAATGGTGACATAATATGTTTCAACCTTAAATCTCTTGACTGCTATCAGTAAAAGCTACTTCACTGTCATCACCACACTCGTCTGCAAATGTCTTTCTTTTTCTCACACGTCGAGTGTCAAACTAGTAGTTTTGTGTGGCACTAACAGTGCGTGTGGCGTGCGGATTCTTCGAGCTCTGCAAACTGTTCTCGTAGAGCGCCAACATATGAATGCAGTGAGTGTAACCCCTGTGAGATGTCTTCTGCTTTCTATGTTTGTCGTGCTGGAGCTGTTAACTTCTGCAAAATATAACAGACACAAAGGAAATTGTGGACCTTCTTTTAATCCTCCATTACACTCACACAAAATACTTAGACAGTGATCGTATAGTTTTATAAGAACAGAACTTGACTACACAAGCAATACAATGAAACATATAACCAAAAATACATACAGGTTAATCAACTTAACATAACATACCTGTAAAATATAAAGGACACAAAGGAAATTGTGGACCTAGAAGGACGACATAAAATGGATGTTAGCTAGCTAAAAAAAAACGGACATTGTTGTTACAGACAATAAAACATATCACCAACTTAATAAAAACATGGCAACTTTAAACAAAGACAAAGGACATTTAAAATAATAAAGCTAGCTTCACCATAAATGAAATGAGTAAACATTTTCCACGGACATAAACAAAACACGTTACCTTCTTTTAATCCTCCATTACACTGAGGATTACCCACAATCCGTCCTTTTTACGGTCCGTTTGTGTACCACTTTGTGGCAGTAGATGGCGTAGTTCAGCCAGTTTAGAAGGGTTTTAGCCATCCATTCTAACTATGTTACATGAGCGCAGAAAGCCAAGAGCAGTAGCTAAATCTATATCGCTTCTTTGGAGTTGGTCGCTTGTTGCCTTAAATCTATGCAGTACCCGGTCCCACAACATAGTCATTATTACTGTCTCAAGTCTTAATTTAACTTTTATTGTTTATATTTTCACATATTGAAAGTGTTTGTATTTTTTACTCATATATCCAGATATATATGACTTTTGAAGCTTAAAAAAAAACGATTTCTCTTTCATGTCCACATTACCGATGATGCAACATAAGTAGTTCCTTGTTGCTTGGCAAAGCCATTGACATCATAGAACGTGTCACTGTGTTCCGATGTGCTTTGTTGTTGGGTTCCATTTTGTCCCTCATAACTTCACTGGACTTCTTGAGAGCTGCACGCTTTCTGTTCTCAGTCCTGCATCCGTTCATAACCTTTGACCACTGACAATACAACGCTGTTTTCAAGTTTTATCGTGTACACAGAAGTATTTTACCCAACTTTTAAATCAAACAGGAGAAATGGCTGAAGGATATACAACGAATCTGCCGGTTTCCAACCAGGGACCACCAGAGTCATCTGAACAGTTCAACGCAGAATATATGAGCCTGAGGGAGATCTGCGAAGTTCTTAAGTCTATGCGCATGAAAATTCACATGAGCGGAATAAAGGTTGCAGGATGGGAATGTTTGAAGGTTAAAAATGACAAGTATGACCATCACAGGCAGGAGGAAGGCATTGCTAGGAGAAAATGTGAAACCCTTCAAAAAGAGGTGAAGAATCTCCTTGTTAAGGTCAAAAATCATCAACATTTTGACTCAATCTACAGAGACCAAAAAGCAGTAAACGAAGAAATGTCTTCTAAACATCAAAAGCTGGAAGAAGAGGTGGACTTGCAGCAGAAAAGGTTGGCGCACTTAAAACGTGTGGAGTCAAACGCTGCATCCATAACACAGGAGAATGAGGAGTACGACCAAAAAATTAAGCTCCTGGAGACCACACTGCAAAAGGTTACCAATGAATGTAACCTTTTATCTGACTTCATGCCTTGTCACCAATCTTGTTTGTGGTCTTCGTGGACAGGATATCGAGGCGTAGTCGGGGGAGGAGGGTCTACAGTTCGGGGGGCTGCGGATCTTATCGCTGCTTTTTGCAGATGATGTGGTCCTGATGGCATCTTCTGTCTGTGACCTCCAACTCTCACTGGAGCGCTTCGAAGTCGAGTGTGAAGCGGTCAGGATGAGGATTAGCACCTCTAAATCTGAGGCCATGGTTCTCAGCAGGAAACCGATGGATGCCCTACTCCAGGTAGGGAATGTGAAGGAGTTCAAGTACCTCGGGGTCTTGTTCACACGTGAGGGGAAGATGGAGTGTGAGTTTGGCCGGAGAATCGGAGCAGCGGGGGCGGTATTGCACTCGCTTTACCGCACCGTTGTGACAAAAAGAGAGCTGAGCCGAAAGGCAAAGCTCTCGATCTACCGGTCAATCTTCATTCCTTCCCTCACCTATGGTCATGAAGGAGTCATGACCGAAAGAACTGGGTCACCGGTACAAGCGGCCGAAATGGGTTTCCTCAGGAGAGCGGCTGGCGTCTCCCTTAGAGATAGGGTGAGAAGCTCAGTCATTCGTGAAGAGCTCGGAGTAGAGCCGCTGCTCCTTTGCCTCGAAAAGGAGCCAGTTGAGGATGGACAGTTTTTTACAAATAATGATGAAAATTTTGAGGACAGTAAAGATGTGGTTCATAATTTCAATAAATATTGAAAGTGTGGGACCCAAACTGGCAGAAAAAACCCCAGATCCTTCAACATCTGGAGCTCTAAATGAAACATTAATCAACATTTGTGCAAATGGGTGACCACCAGTCATCTTGCTTGGACATTGTTTGTGGTGTCCCCCAGGGGTCAGTATTGGGACCAAACGTGTTTATTCGTTATATTAATGACATCAGTAAAGTTTCTAAAATACTTAAGTTTGTTTGGTTTGCAGACGATACTAATATTTTTTGTACAGGTGATAATTTGCAGCAGCTTTCGGCTGAAATCAACTTAGAGTTATGTCAACTTATTATATGGTTTGATATTAATAAATTATCATTAAACTTCGATAAGACTAAGTTCATGTTGTTTAGAAATTGCAAAAGCAAATCAAATTTGCAAATTTAAATAGATGATGTGTCGGTGGAGAGAGTTAATGAAATTAAGTTTTTGGGAGTGATGATAGACCATAAGATTTGCTGAAAACCGCATATTAAATACATTCAGTCTAAAATATCTAGAAGTATTGCGGTTCTCAGCAAAGCTAAACATTTTCTAAATTATGCTGCACTACATATTCTATATTGCTCACTTATTTTGAGTTACTGTGTGGAAGTATGGGGCAACAACTATAAAACCCTGCTGCGACCGTTATGCACATTACAAAAAAGAGCCATCAGAATGGTTCATAAGGCAGGATTCCACGACCATACTAACTTATTATTTATACAGTCCTGCTTCCTCAAACTGCCAGATCTAGAAGAATTTCAAACAGCTATGCTGATGTAAAAAGCTATGAATAAACAAGTACCAGATAACATGCAAAAACTGTTTACTGATTGAGTGGGGGGCTATGATTACAGGGAAAACCTTAACTTCAGAACCTTGAGGGTTCGAACCACCATGAAGCGAATGTGCATTTCAGTCAGTGGTGTGAAGGTCTGGAATAAACTTCAAAAAGAGCTGAAGCAAAGTCCAAGCAAGACTTTGTTTAAAAAAAGACTCAAACTGGTGATTTTCAAGAGGGGAAGTGAATGGTATAACTACTCAGCACTATATATATATATATATGTTATATTGTATTTAGTATATATGGTGTATATGGTATATGGTATGGTATATATCTGTGTTAGCCCTGCGATTGGCTGGCGAACAATCCAGGGTTTACCCCGTCTCTCGCCCGAAGTTGGCTGGGATACACTCCAGCCCCCCCTGCCCGACCCTGTGTGCAGGATAAGCGGTTTGACGATGGATGGATGGATTGATTTCATTTGGCAAACACATCTTACAGTGGCATTTGTCTTGACTTTCAATGTGCAAACTGGTGTACAATATCTTCAAAATCAAGGGCACTAACAAGTTCATGTTTGATGGCCAAGAGAGAACGTGCAGAGAGCCGTGTCTGTGACATTGTGGTCCTCAGCTCATTTTTAACTTGTTTCAAAACAGAAAACGACCTCTCACCCTCACAGTTAGACACCGGCAAGGTTAAAAACATTCTTAGTGCAACATAAACATTTGGATATGTTGTCTTAGGTCCATGTCTCTCAAGAGCTTGCAGAAGCTGTACAGGTAAAGTCTCAAGTGCTTGAACTGAATAATTTTGTCTGAGAAGGAACTATCCAGATCTGTCAATGGTGACATAATATGTTTCAACCTTAAATCTCTTGACTGCTATCAGTAAAAGCTACTTCACTGTCATCACCACACTCGTCTGCAAATGTCTTTCTTTTTCTCACACGTCGAGTGTCAAACTAGTAGTTTTGTGTGGCACTAACAGTGCGTGCGGCGTGCGGATTCTTCGAGCTCTGCAAACTGTTCTCGTAGAGCGCCAACATATGAATGCAGTGAGTGTAACCCCTGTGAGATGTCTTCTGCTTTCTATGTTTGTCGTGCTGGAGCTGTTAACTTCTGCAAAATATAACAGACACAAAGGAAATTGTGGACCTTCTTTTAATCCTCCATTATACTCACACAAAATACTTAGACAGTGATCGTATAGTTTTATAAGAACAGAACTTGACTACACAAGCAATACAATGAAACATATAACCAAAAATACATACAGGTTAATCAACTTAACATAACATACCTGTAAAATATAAAGGACACAAAGGAAATTGTGGACCTAGAAGGACGACATAAAATGGATGTTAGCTAGCTAAAAAAAACGGACATTGTTGTTACAGACAATAAAACATATCACCAACTTAATAAAAACATGGCAACTTTAAACAAAGACAAAGGACATTTAAAATAATAAAGCTAGCTTCACCATAAATTAAATGAGTAAATATTTTCCACGGACATAAACAAAACACGTTACCTTCTTTTAATCCTCCATTACACTGAGGATTACCCACAATCCGTCCTTTTTACGGTCCGTTTGTGTACCACTTTGTGGCAGTAGATGGCGTAGTTCAGCCAGTTTAGAAGGGTTTTAGCCATCCATTCTAACTATGTTACATGAGCGCAGAAAGCCAAGAGCAGTAGCTAAATCTATATCGCTTCTTTGGAGTTGGTCGCTTGTTGCCTTAAATCTATGCAGTACCCGGTCCCACAACATAGTCATTATTACTGTCTCAAGTCTTAATTTAACTTTTATTGTTTATATTTTCACATATTGAAAGTGTTTGTATTTTTTACTCATATATCCAGATATATATGACTTTTGAAGCTTAAAAAAAACGATTTCTCTTTCATGTCCACATTACCGATGATGCAACATAAGTAGTTCCTTGTTGCTTGGCAACGCCATTGACATCATAGAACGTGTCACTGTGTTCCGATGTGCTTTGTTGTTGGGTTCCATTTTGTCCCTCATAACTTCACTGGACTTCTTGAGAGCTGCACGCTTTCTGTTCTCAGTCCTGCATCCGTTCATAACCTTTGACCACTGACAATACAACGCTGTTTTCAAGTTTTATCGTGTACACAGAAGTATTTTACCCAACTTTTAAATCAAACAGGAGAAATGGCTGAAGGATATACAACGAATCTGCCGGTTTCCAACCAGGGACCACCAGAGTCATCTGAACAGTTCAACGCAGAATATATGAGCCTGAGGGAGATCTGCGAAGTTCTTAAGTCTATGCGCATGAAAATTCACATGAGCGGAATAAAGGTTGCAGGATGGGAATGTTTGAAGGTTAAAAATGACAAGTATGACCATCACAGGCAGGAGGAAGGCATTGCTAGGAGAAAATGTGAAACCCTTCAAAAAGAGGTGAAGAATCTCCTTGTTAAGGTCAAAAATCATCAACATTTTGACTCAATCTACAGAGACCAAAAAGCAGTAAACGAAGAAATGTCTTCTAAACATCAAAAGCTGGAAGAAGAGGTGGACTTGCAGCAGAAAAGGTTGGCGCACTTAAAACGTGTGGAGTCAAACGCTGCATCCATAACACAGGAGAATGAGGAGTACGACCAAAAAATTAAGCTCCTGGAGACCACACTGCAAAAGGTTACCTAATGAATGTAATCTTTTTATCTGAGGCCAGTGAACGAGACGCTCATCAGCTTGATATGAAGAAGACTTTGGTGAAGAACTTGGCCTCCAAAACAGCTTCGACTCACTTGCATTACAAACGTCTGCAATATAAGAATAAGAAACTGATTGCAGAGACACAGGAGTTAGAAATACAGGTTTCAGCTCTGGGGGATGAGAAAAGTGAAATAAACCTGAAACTCGTAAACCAACAACGTCAAATTGAGGACTCAATGCACCGTAAGGACGCTTTGGAGAGAACAACCAATGATTCAAAACAGCAAATCCAGGCCCTCAATGAAGAGCTCACGTCTAGAGAATCTTTGGCAGCGCAACAGAAATGCCAGGAGACTGTTCTGGAGGAGCAGCAGCGACAGTTGATTAAGGCCCACACGGAGGCCACCAGCAAGCTACTCAGTGAAAAAGACTGGAAGGCTGGCTATGACGCACAGAGGGAACTAAACGACGCCTTGGAGCTGAAGAACAATGAATGGAAAGAGAATATCCTCAGTCTAATGAACAGTCTCAAAGATCTTGACGCCTGTAAGGCAAACTACAAATCAATGAAGACAGATATAAAAGTTGCAACCAGACTAATAAAAAACTCTCGAAAAGCAACACAAGACCCTGGAAAACAAGTTCTCAAAAGAGCAGAAGTATGAGGAAAAACACAACGCAATAAAGTCCGAGAGCGAAACCCTGATGGGTGAAAACTGCACTCTTCAGCGTCAGGTTGAGGAACTGCAGAGCACCCTTCAGGGAACGCATGTTTTGACTTGTATCTACAACTCCCTGGTATCGGTTAAAAACGCCAACAAGCTACTGAACGACGACCTTCTGAGAGAACTTCAACAGCTCCACGAAGAGGCCGCTAAAGAAGCACCTCTGAAAGAGCGCAACGAGGCAATAAGGGCAGAGAACGAGATCGATAACAGACAATTGGATGTTCTCGAGGAGCAAGTGTCCTCCGTCGCATGTAGAAAGGGTGCACCGGAAAAGGCCTTGGTGGTTTGAACCCTCGCCGGCTGGTCCCGAACAAGACACCTAACCACCCTTAGGCATCCCATTGAAGTAACAGCTATGGTTTTCTCCCGGGTTTTCCTTAAAAATGACCGTACATGGGTGTCTACTGTGCTAATGTAGCATAATTTGACACACATTCTCTTAATCGATTCACTCATTTGTGACATTCGCAATGCACATTTGGGCAGTTGAGTTTTTTTCCTGCAGCAGGTGTTCACACCTGTACTTGGTCCTCTGCTGTGCTAATGTAAGGTCATTTTACATTCCATTTAGCACTGTCTGAAATATTTACACTCCTGGAAAAAGGCGCCTAATTAGATTTGGACCGCAGCGTCCACATCCAACAAAACGTCGCGCCAAGTTTTCTTGAAAACTCGACAGCCCCGATATGAAGATTGAAAGAATATTGAACACATGTCACCAGGGCCAGAGTAACACTTCTGATTGGACAGACGGATTGCAGCACTCCCGCCACGCATTCAATTCCTCATGCGGTACCCCCCCCTAGTAGGGCACTTTTAAGACACTCGTAAAACATCGCCATCTCTCCGTGACTTTCTGCTGTGGCTCTCCTGCTGCGCTCACTTCCACCCCTCATCACAGGCTCTCCCGCCACAGATTTGATTGCCATAATATCTAGAAAGCGGCATTTCTCAGCTTTTAGAATCCGATTGTGCAAATAGTTAAGGAGTCAAGGTAATTTGAATCCTCCATGTCACTTGGAGATCATTGGAGGTAGAGAATAAATATAAAAAATATAAGAATACCTAAATGGTAACACTTTACTTGAATGGGTGTTCATAAGGCTGACATAACATTGTCATAAGCATGCCATAACAGACCTAACTGTCAAACTTAAGCAAAACGTTTGGCTTCATATCTTAGAGCGACATTAAACCGTCATATATGGATGGTTTTGACATTCGCTGTCATAAAACCATTACAATTGTGTCATGTTGTCCTTTTCATTAAGATGTCGTTAAGTGTAACTACACTGCTAAAGGACTTTATAACACATTTCCCATTTCCCTCCTACAGTGATTTAATGATTTTAACTTTGCATTAAGATATCATGTGCAATTACATAGTCAAACCAGTTTATGACAGTGTCATGACTGTTTTCTTTGAATTCAAGTAAAGTGCAACGATTTGAATGTTTCGTTAAAATGTCATTAAGTGTTATTACACTGTCAGATGATAATAATACCTTAAAAAAAGCAACAGACAAGTCAAGAGATAGTTTTCCTTTATGTATTTCAACACAAAACATTTTGTTGTGATGCCACTCATCTTAAGATGAAGCAGAAAAAACAAACTTCCAAAATTCCTACATGTATTGTGTATATAAACAGATTAACTTTAACAAAGTTTAAACAATTGTTTAACAAAATGTAAACAAGTGTGAACAAAATGAATATTCTTAAGTATATTTATACATTATTGGGAGGAGCTTTCCATTTTTTTTGCATGCTGTGATGGCTTCGGCCATCTCCTCGTTTATGGCCCCGCGACAACGCTCTGCAAGCACACAAATCTTCATTTCATCTTCGTCACCTGTCAGCAGACCTTGGAACGCGTCCTGAAAGGTAATTGCTAGCTCAGCAATTATAGCTGTGCGTGCAATTGTGTTTCGATCAACATTCATTTTCGCAAAGGCTTTCTTCGTGGATCCACACTTTTTGAAGATACGAAGGACATCCTTATAGCGACGGATCACTCCATCTGTTGTGGTTACTTAAGAACACAACAGAAAAACAAACAAAATAGGTCAGTTTTTCAGGCATGTACTGGCATTGTTGATTTGGCACCTTATAGGTTTTGTAGTAGTAGCAGATGAGAAAGGATCCTTACTTTTGCATCCTTCTTCTAGGCTGGTTATATTAGACTTTCCTACCTGACTCTGTGGCTAGCAATATCTGCCTTCACCAGCCTAGAAGGAGGATGCCCAGGAAGTAATGTCCTTTCTCACCTGCCTGTACAAAACATAACCAGCGTGGTTAGAGGAAGCACAGTGAACTCTGATGGTACAGTAAGTAAAATTGTTTTCTTATATTTTTCTTTTTCAAAGGTTAGATATAAAACAAAACTGGAGGAGATCATAGAATAACTTGAGGAGATCAGGAGAGCTAGACAAGGCTGTAGAGATCTCAATCACTGATTTTCAGAATGATTACTAAAATATACCATTAGCTAGACATCGATATAACATTACCTTTAGTCCCATGTAACTATTATTAACAAAGCCCATGGAAGTAGTTGCTTTTCATATAAATGTAATCCATAAAAGGTTAAGCAGCGGTCAACTTTAGGATTGTTATAAAGCTGATTATAAAGATGATCAATATCTCTGCTTACTTCTTGAACGGCTGTGTGATTCAGTGTGTTTTTTTGACTTAATGGTCTTTTTCTTGGACTTCTTCCTTTTCTTTTTCTTTTCTTCTGAGGATGATAAGAACCTGGAGTCTGAGGAGGGAGATGTCGATCTTGAAGTCGAAGATGAAGAAGGTTCTGGAGCAGTCTTTCTGCCTGGGGGAAGAAAATTGGGGGGTAGGTGGAGAAGCAGAGATGTTTATAAGTAAACAAAGCAAAAAACTAATACTTTTTTTTAATGCAGTCACTTTTTTGAGAGCAGACAACTGCACGTGTACAAGAGGCTTTGTTATAGATAATTACATATTATTTTCTTATTTATTTTTTTATTTATTATTTCGATTGCATTGTAGTTGATAATTAACAGGTGTTTGTTTGGGGGGGGGGGGAGCAGGAGCAGAACCAGAGCACCCAGAAGTCACACTCTATTGTACTCTAGTTATACTCCCAGAGCAATTTACTGGCAGGAAAGGCCAGAGTTATTTTAGCAGCAGCAGTAACAGTGAGTGAAACATCAGTTTGTGTGTGTGTGTTGTGTGTGTGTCTGTTAACATGTTAGTAGAGCATTAGCTGTAGCATACAGTGAGTGATGGCTCTACTCTATGTCAGTGCATAGCATTTCTTTCTACACAGCAATGCCATCACCAGAGACTTATCAGGTCATATCGGAAACCTTTTGGAAGGACTTGGGAAAATAGTATTTCAGCTCAATTGGACATCTCATTTGTAACAACAATGCAATTGTATATAATAATATATCCTTACACTCTGTGCCCAGCCTATTTCTATTTCTGGTTCCTTCACCAACTAGTACTGCATGGATGTTAATTGTAGTGCATTTGTACCTTTCCCAGAAGATGTAAGTGTGCTGGGAGCTTCCTTAATTTTGGCAAGTAGGAAGTCCGTGTCAGCTTTCAGGTCCTTGTTGGCCTCCTCCAGGTAATAAATGGGCTCCTCAAGGTGTTCTATCTTCTGTCGGTTCATCTTGGTTTGTTCCTTCAGTTTGGCCAACTCCAATGCACCTGTTGGAGACACGGCAACAGACGAAGTACTTTAAGTGTATTATTGAGGTCAGTCAATGGTGGTGGTGTACTGTTGTGCAATATATTGATATGTGTCATATGTTAATCTATTCTATCTATTCATTAACATACATACATTCATTGCACTGCAGTACACCAACAAAATTCCCAGTACTTTTGTGCATATTGTTTATTGAGAAGATAGGCAATAAAACATGTATGTAATTATGTATAAATAAAAAGTACATTTCTAGCCCTACTGGTGAAAGTAGTAAAAAAAAAACATAAATAGACTAGACTTACTTGTTTTCCTCGGGGAATATTTGATTAGCTTTTTTTTCTTTGGATGAATAGGGACCTCTTCACGTTCTTGTGCCAGGTCCTCTTCCACAGCGTGTAGCAGCTTGGGGTTAGCTTCATTATCCTCAGCCTTCCTGCCACGTTTGCTGAAACGGGTGTCCATCTGGCTACAGTTGTGTAAGCAACGAAAACAGCACCATGTCATAGAAGCTAAGATTAAGATACAATAGTCAAACGTGACATCTTAGTTGTTTAGAAATAGCGACAAGAAAACTGGAGCAAATACTACTAGCCTCTATGCTACTAACGTTATAGCCTGTTGGCTGCCTTGTAACGGAGACGTAAGGACTTTGTACTTAAAGGCTAACTAGTATTAGTTGCTGAACGCTAACTTAATAAAACGGCAAAGACTGTAAACAAAAGACTAACAGTTATAATGTCCTCTTCAAAAAAATGTTCTTTTAAAATCCAAATTACACACCGGTATTTCACGTTAGCTTACCTGAAGTAGGAAACTTCCAGACTGTTGATCAGTGTGTTGCACTGCTGGCATGTCCGTCACGTCGCGTTGGGATCTACTCATGTGGATAGTCACGTTACGTAAACGTTACGCGCGCATTCAGTTCAAATTCAACAACACTTGTAAACAGTGATGAAATATTAATACATGTGTTAGTTTTATATTTAGAAAAGCCAACTACGTTTGAAATCTCATAACTTTTTTCACGAATACAGGTGCAGTTCCCCTGTAGACACACGTGGGGGCGCTGTTCTGTCTTGTTGGAGCATTGAGCGACGAGAAGAAGACTGACATAACGACTTAAAAAAAAGGCGCGGATCACAGACGGGTGACTAGTTGTTGATGCAATGACACTGATGGAAGAACTTTTAAAACATATTAGGCGTTCAAATAAACACAACAGCAGAAGGAAAATTGTGAAATGGACGCAGAAACGTGGTATCCTGACGACGACGATGAAGTGCGCAAAATGCAACCGTCCATGCATCTGGTGAAATGCCATGTCAAGGATGGGCTGTGGTGGTAAGCAGAAGCTAATTCTAATTTGTTAATTTAAATGGAAACTACGTAAAAGAAGCCGCTGAGCTTGCGTGCCTGACATCACCGAGCATGGTTGGACGGGGTCTTTCATTGATAATATTAGTAGTATTGTTATTAATAAATGCTCTGCTCAGACTCATGGGAGACGTGCTTGTTTCCTGCCGTTGGCAGCATTTTGGATAAGTTGCAGTCCAAGATGTTTCCCTACTGATTACTACAGAGCATTGCAGTAGGCTAGTCTTGAAGAGATAAAAGCATGAACAACCTTGTCTACATGTCAGCCTTTTTTACTTTTTTCATTATTTTTCCTCAGGGTCTGTAAGTGTCAGCGGCCGAGGTTTCTTCTTAAAAACTAAAAGTGTTGCCAACAACTAAAAGTGTTGCCAACAACGCCACCTAGGTAAAAGCCCTAGGAACTAGGGAACAAGGGGAGCAGTAAAACAATGACCCAAGAGGAGACAGGGGCGGAAATACGACTAAGAAAATATTTATTTTAATACAAAGGTTAAAATATATAAAAGGGAGCTAAAATAGTCCGTCCAGGGTCATCACCACAGCAGGAGCGAAGTCCTGCGCGTCCCTGGTCCACTGGTGTGGACGTCTGACTGCCAGTCGCCCTCTGCTGCTGCTGCTGCTGCTGCTGCTGCTGCTGAGTCTGCTCCTGCCCTCCGCTGCTGCTGCTGCTGGTGCGTCTGCTGCTGCTGGTGCGTCTGCTGCTGCTGCTGCTGCTGCTGCTGCTGCTTCTGGTGGTGGTACCTCTGCTTCTGCCTTTCTTTCCTTTTCTCCCTTCTCTCGTTTCTTCCCGGTTCTCCTTGTTGCTCCCCAGCTCTCCTTGTTGCTCCCCAGCTTTCCAGCTTTCCAGTTTCGCCCTGTTTCTCCAGTGCCAGTGTTCTGTCTTCCTGCTAAAAAAGAGAAAGTTCTGCCCCTGGCCTTTCCCCATTGGTCCATTTGCCATATGCCACTAATTGCTAATTCGTTGGGGACGATTGTCAATTGAGGACACAACTCAAACAAAACTCAAAGCAGATTATAAATTGTCCAACATGCAATCACAAAACAACAAGTCATAAAAACATGCAATCATAAAATAATAAATTGTAAAACATGCAATAATAAATCAATAACATATGCAATCAATAAAATATGCAATCAATTGTGCATGCAATCAATGGTCCCCAATCGTCCACCCAGTGACATAAGCATCATAAAAGTTTCCCAAAGTCTGTACGTAATGGCTCAATATTCACAGGGTCTCACATCCCTCTGACAAAATGGCTTGAGTTCATGCACAGGTACAGTATTAATATATCAAATGTATTTTTTATTACATATCTAAATAACATATTTAGCAGTCTTTTATTTATGTGTAATTCATGTAGGATTGTTATATTAGGAATTCCGTTCCACCAGCCCCTCAAATTTTATTTGAGCTATTTATGTCTTAAACATAAGACTTAAAATTAAATCTTAGTTTCATCTCAGCCCAATTTATCAATTATGTTTCTTACTTTTTGCTTTCTTCAGATTTGCCCAAGATTTGCAGTTGAAGCAACTTGCCATGATCAGTGACAGGATAGCAGCAAGCTCCAGGACATTGACAAGAATGGCAAAAGTACTCCGAAAGGTTGTCACATTACATACCAGACTAGTCTCTAACTTTAATTAGGTATAAAACAGGTACATAAGTCACCACTCTAATCAATTGGATTCTACATCGCTGCAGAATTATTTGGTACACTCAGTGACACATGCAATGCAACTTTATTCCTAAACGTTAGCATACATATTAATCAAATTCCATACTAAGGCATAGTTATACCTCAAGATGCTTATATTTTATTTTCACATTTGAAGGTGTGCATTGCTGCTGTCAAGCGACTAAGAAAAAGATGTATGAGGATTGGTGGTCGTCATCGATTTGTTGTTATTGACGAGAGCAAATTTGCCCACAAACGAAAGGTGGGCTATATATTTGTATGAATCTGCACTATATTTAGATCAAGATTTCATGATGAGTAATATTTTATAATTTGTCAGTGGTAGCAGTGCATGTGGGAAGGACACATGATAAAATGTAATACAGCCCAAACCTTATGAAATATTTGTGTTTTCTTATTTACTTTTAGTACCATCGTGGTCGATGTGGCAACGCTTGGCGCCGTGAACGGCAGTGGGTCTTTGGGATGTTGGAGGTCGACAGGAAGTCCAGAAGACCCATTCTGAGACTCGTCAGGGATCGCAGAAGGAAGACACTTATAGGTCATATTAGACGCCATGTCAGACCCAGAACATCCATCCTCAGTGATGAATGGCGTACCTACAAAGGGCAACTTGCCCAGTATGGGTATGATCATTATTCGGTCTGCCATAAAAACAACTTTATGGACCGAGAGACTGGTGCTCATACTCAGCATATTGAGCGTGCATGGCAAAGCTACAAGCCGGAAGTATGGCGTCACAGAGGGAATCGTACTCCTGAATCACTCAAGCTTCATCTTAAGATGATAGAGTGGAACCACTGGTTGGGTGTACACCATTACAATGGTGTGTTGGGCAGACTTTTCCATGATGTGAAAAAACAAGTAAAAGTAAAAAAAAAAAAAAAATCTCTACAATGTCTGCTGGCATTTATGCATCTATGTTGTTAAACTCATTATATGTTCTCCTGAGCAGATCCTTGCTTGTGTTTTACAAACTGTCACTGGATGAACATCACAACAAAATGTTTTGTTTTGAAATACATAAAGGAAAAACTATCTCTTGACTTGTCTGTTGCTTTTTTTAAGGTATTATTATTATCTGACAGTGTAATAACACTTAATGACATTTTAACGAAACATTCAAATCGTTCCACTTTACTTGATTTCAAAGAAAACAGTCATGACACTGTCATAAACTGGTTCGACTATGTAATTGCACATGATATCTTAATGCAAAGTTAAAATCATTAAATCACTGTAGGAGGGAAATGGGAAATGTGTTATAAAGTCCTTTAGCAGTGTAGTTACACTTAACGACGTCTTAATGAAAAGGACAACATTTATGACACAATTGTAATGGTTTTATGACAGCGAATGTCAAAACCATCCATACATGACGGTTTAATGTCGCTCTAAGATATTAAGCCAAACGTTTTGCTTAGGTTTGACAGTTAGGTCTGTTATGGCATGTTAATGACATGTTAATGACATGTTTTGTTGTCTTGGTTTATGTCAAGTTGTCATAACAAGGACATCTCAAACAATGTCACCTTTGCATCAAAAGTGACATAACTTACCGAATGACACTTAACGACAACTGTCATAAGTATTCATTGATATGTATGACAGCTGTCATGTCATGCTTATGACAATGTTATGTCAGCCTTATGAACACCCATTCAAGTAAAGTGTTACCAATAAAGGTTTGATAGCATTTTCCTATTGGGTGAGTTGGAACTAAAATCTCCTGCATGATATTACTGTTCACCTGATATTGCTGATCCTGCTGTTCTTTAAATCCAGTATGTACATTTCCATTGGCCTCATTGCTCATACGTGCTATGGAGGACTAAAAGTGCCACAATTAAATAAATAAATACACCATTAAATAATTACTTAAATGTGTCATTCATTAATTAAAATTGGAATTAGTACCAAGTGAAAGCTTTAAACTGTGTTCTGTGTTACAGTTTTTTACAGTCGCTACATTTCTCAATACTTAGGTCACTTTTTCAAAACTCTTTTTCCTAACCAACTTTTAGTTCGCCACAGCAGTTCATTTCACGTTCAAAATGCACTAAAACTACCAAAACACTTAATTCATGTCTCAAATCAACTCATTCTTCCAGAACACTAGCAAAGGTTGACAGCCAACAAACACACTTTGTCACCCACAAAACAATGACCTAAAAAACACTAACAACATGTAGCATTATACAATGTTTTCTTGTGTAAAGCAAGGACACATCTCTGTTTATTATTCACTGTAATATATGTTACTGGAATTAATCAGACATGATGCAGAATGCTTCAATATATTTCATGTCCTTTATTCATATTTTATTTTTTTGCACTGAGTAATTCCAAAATACAAGAATTTGTATACACACCATCCACTGATACAGATACACTGATACAGTCTTCTCTATTTGGCCACAGGTTCTTATCCACATCACATCTTATGTCATCTAGGGCGATACACCTAGGACAGAACCTTCTGACATGCCTTATCCATCCCTGGAAATCTTCTGCTGATATGTCCAGGCATCCAGCATTACTTGCGTCCAGGAGGGACATTTGATCATGTGGATGATGGCCATGAACCTTCCACCTCCATGAGGAAAATAATTCTTCTATGGGGTGGAGAAATGGAGAGTAAGGTGGGAGGAAAAGTGACACCATTCTGAGATGGGCTGCAAACCACTCAGTGACCGCATGAGATGGTGAAATGCCACATTGTCCCATACAATTATACATGTTGGCTGATTTCTTCTCTCTGCATCCCTTTCCTCACCTAACACAACCCTTCCATAGAGATCATGCAGGAACGCAAGGAAACGTTCAGTTTTGTATTATATTATTGTTTTGAACATAAGTTTAACAGTTTTGAAAACAGTATCTAAGCATGTGCAAATTGGCCTGTAGGGTACACAGAGTTTTGGCGGTTGTTGTGTCTGAGTGAGAAATGAAATTGTGTAATTTGAAAGATGTAGTCATTGAATGCATTTTGTGCCAAAGCAATGATAATTGATCCTCAGTTTAGCCCACATATACTTCTGTTGTGCTCACTGTGTGAAGAGTTTTGAAAAGGTAATCTAAGTATTGAGAAATGTGTCCTAGCAACTGTAAAAAACGGTAAAGTTGCACCCGCTTGTAGTGAAGATATCGGTGCAATTATTGCACACAAATAGAGATTTACAAAACCTGTCACTAAAGGCTCCATCAGAATAATGTGTACTACTTCTGCCAACTCACAGTTAAAGTGTATCAATGAAGGCAAAGCAGTCAAACAAAACCTTCAAGAATAACCCTACACTTTGATCTACTGTCAAAATAAGGATTTCAGAATTTTGTCATGAAGGCCAGATTATCTTTATTATTATCTTATTATTTTTAGCACCAATAATTGAATGTACCTGTGATTCTGCTGGTCTCTTCACCATGTCCATAAAACTGATATATACAATCTCATTCAGTCTGTTCTCTAACTGTAATGAAATATATATCTTAGTGTTGTTTTTGTTGTTCATGGGAAGCTTACAGGAGTCATGTGCAGAGCCAGATAAATCAAGTAGATATTTTCCAAAGTTAGCCGTTGGTTTTCTTGTTATTGCTTTTACAGCTCAGCCAGGAACCACAATGAGGGACAAAGTACAGTACAAAGTTCATTCTTAGACAGATAGCAACAAAAGGAAGGAGGTTTGTACTAAAAATATCTGTCCAACTAAGACTTCTGAAGCATCATTTTGGTTTTCAGATTAAAGTTTTGCACAAACTGAAGTGCTGCAGATGTGCTTACAGAACAAAAGCCTTGAGATTTGATCACATGGGTCCCTTGACTCTCAGAATTGTATCCTCCAAGAATCCATCATGGTTTGTTGAAAAACACGAGTAGTTGACAGACACCCTCATTTGGTAGAAGATGAGTCATAAAAGGCGGGAGGACCCGGCACAGGTGTCAGGTGGGCATGGGAAGGTCATCAGGGTGGAACAGGGGGGGGCACGGGTTAAGAAGTGAGGGTAAAAGCTTGTGAAAAGAGGGTCGTGAATCAGCACGTCTGCTTGAGAGATGCTTGAAGCTCTGAGGTTAGAGACTCTAAAGAAGAAGTGGCAGTAGATGAAGGGTCCATACAATTTTGTGCAAGAAACAGGAACATTTTTAAATAAACACAAATGTAAATTGATGCGATTGAGATAAGAACCCTCGATGACCTCGGGTCACGGCGTATGAATTTTGCAGATACTTTCATACTTTTAAACGGTCGGATCTGTGTTTACATTTAGCTCCTGTAAGGTTTTATGTGGAATAACTCAAATGAATGCAGTGACACGCTGCATGAGGTTTTTATTTAGCCGCAGAACGAGGAACAATCAAACCCATTGATCACACATTCACTCACATTTGTCCCAACTGAGCCGTAGTGTCGCTCTGACCGATGAATGACTGGTGTATCACGTCTAGCTCATAAACCTTCAGGCACAGACGTCCACCAGAAGACAACGCAAGCTGTTTATGGTAGCACAGCAGACTCTAGTGGCCACAGACATAACGATAACAGTCATAAATATATATACAGTATATATGTATGTATTACGGTAAATAAAAGAAACACCTCTCTAAATATAACCACTAACTAGATGCTGCAAAGAGGACCATGTAGGGCAATAAAAACAGTTTTAATATTATAACCTTAAAGATGGAAAGATGCTTTGTGTGACATTATGTATTAGAGCACAAGCATTTTTTTTTTTAAATTACCATGAAAATTTTGCATTATCACAACTCATATGAAAATGACTGTATATGTGTGTTGGCAATCAGGAGTCATCTTTGCTTTTGTGTAAACTGATAAACTGGAACGTGGACACTTGGATTGTGTTGTTGTTTTCTGGTTTGTCTACGACCTCCTTTAAAGCAGCACTGGGATAGATACTGACATAATTCAGTCATACTAAAACATTCTCTTTTTTTTCGAACGCCTTACTTTCAGTAACCAGTTTTAGGGAAAGATTAGTTCAATTTATAGCAAGCAACAGGTAAAACAAAAAAAAAAAGATTGCTGCATTTTGCCTGCTTTCATTAAGTTATCCTCGGCTATTCATGGATGCACAGATGGCACCAGCCTGCAGGCCCATTATGCTCACAGATGAATCCAACAAGGTACTTAATTGGCGAGGCTTCATGCGAGGCTGCATTGTGGACCGGACTGGAGCCACTGCCTGCAGAAGAGGACACCAGGAGCCTCGGCGTCTACACACACACACGCGCACAAAGACATCACTGGTGCGTCGCTGTGAGAGTGCACGGGTGTGACAGGCTGCAACCCCCCCCCCCCCCCCCCCAACTACAAAAAACCACGGTCCGACTTATGGAGCAAGGGGCCGACTCAAACCCTCCATCCGCCATTTTCAGCGGAATGAAAGCAGGTTGAGCACAAAAAAGCACAAGCTGCCGGTCACACAAAGCAGGTAAGTGCAAGTACGTGTACCCCCCCAAAAAAACACCCCCCGACAGGTTGAATTTAGGAAGGACCCCCCCTCGGGTAGAATGAGAGTAAAACTAAACCGCATCCTTCGCGGTCTGTATCGTTTACATACACCGGTTTCATTTAGTCTTTGTCAACTTTTGTGACGCGCGGAGGCTTTTAGCGCTTTAAAATGACGAACACACGCACAGCCGGGGGGAAGTCTCTCCATTTGCTGCTTGGGCTGCGAGAAATCCACCAATGTCTGATCACAGCTCCAGCAAAACGCGACTATGGTGAGAGCAAAAAACAAACAAACACATGCATTCACTAAATTAACAGAACGGTAAAAAAGTGAATGCACTTTTTAGGCGGAGGAGAGGATGCTAAATATAGAAGCTCCGCTGCCACCAATCTTTAACTATTGGGTTTATTGTCTGAGCTGTGCTGTTGGCTTTGAGATAACACCTCGTCAGTGAGATGTGTCCCACAGCACGTGGGGCAGTGAGCTCATTGTGCTCCTGAACTATTTGCTTTAAAACAAAAAAGCTAGTTGCAAAAGTGTAGCAGTGTAATGGAAAAATCTGCATTCAAACCAAGGCAAAAAAAGAGAGAAATGTGCTTGATTTTTCTGATAATCAATTAGTCACTTGAATCGTTTCAGCACTTAAAGCTTCTTCAATGTCAGGATTGTTTCATTCCATTGTTCATGGACCATCCCATCAAAGCTAAATAACCATGCAATGATTCGGCCTTCATTACAAAGACGTTTAAGCAACATGCATTTTGGCAGACATGTAAAGGCGGTTCGTTTAGTTTTAATCTCGTTAAACGTTTCGGGTGTCTCAAACACCTCGATACTTTCCACAGAAATTTGCGTTCAACAGTTTGTGTGTTCTCCTCACTGAGATGCACTCATGATTATTTGAAGTGCGTATGCTACAATGAAAAGGCCTCCATTTAAGTTTGCTGCTACTTTTCAATTACTTCCTTTTACAGTCTCATGTGCTAACGCTCAATGAAGACTTGGTGCGAACTGTCTTTCAGGAACCCACCTGAACGCAAGTATCTACTTCCTGCCATCCGTTCAATTAGTCTAGTGTTGAACTTGTCATGTTTAATGATATTTGACACTTTAGCGGGGCTCTGATGCATTCTGCTGACCCAACGTGTCATGTATTGCAGAACATGGCGATCATCGGAGGGAAAGTGGAAAATCTGGAGGAAATTCCAAGTCATGTGTGGAAGAGTTTACCCGACTGTTTGAAACTTGGACCTTCTGCTATAAATCAAAGCCGCGTGGGTGAGTACAGAAAAGTGCCCATTCTGTTTAGAGAACTGCAATTTTAAAGGTCCTTTCAACAGTTTTCATATCCTTAATAAAGCAGCAAACCGCTATTTGCCATATAACTAAGTCGATCTTCCCGTATGTGTCTTTTGTTGAGTTTCTCCATCCTTTGATACCAACCGTGCATTTTTAGTGCATTTGGGTCTCGCCGGCGGGCCCCACTGGCCGGCTCATGGCCGATGCTTTGTACCGCGCTCAAACAGTGGTTCTGTCAAATAACACCGCTGCGACCCACAATATTGTCGTAGAAAAGCGCAGGGCCCATCCTCCTCTCCCCCCCCCCTCCCCGTGTTTACGCCCTAAGTGCTTTCTGTATTGTTGCTGTTGTTCGCACCCGAAAGAGCCATTTGCTGCTAATCGCGGTCTCAGCTGGCTCCATTTGGAGAGCTGTGCAGAGGCAATAGGTGCGCTCCGAAACCCGCTTGGAGAACCTTTTACATAGGGAGCCGAAGCGCTGCCCCTTCTGGTGCCCCCTTAGAGGACCTTATTACAGAAAGAAAGCATGTACAGTAGTAGGAACAAATCATCATCCTCCATTTCACCGATGTACAACTTTAAAAACTGCTTTTTTTAACCAGCAAATGACATTGAAACAACCAATAACTTTTAATGCATTGGGGGGAAAATCCCATAGTGTCAACAGTGAATTTAAATGCTGTTATTCAGTTTCTTTGAAACTGGCAGAAGCAACAGTATATTTAATATTTATTTAAAAAAACTCCCAGTTACTGGAAGACTCATTATGCCAGTCTAGGTGTTTAAGGTGCACCATTGTTTGAGCAAAAATTCTCTATAAATACATTTTATAATTGTACATAAATGGATACAAATTGTCTTTTATTTAATACTTTTATAACTAATTGGTTCAAGATGTTTCACTTTCTTATTTCCAGGCGTCTGGGCCACTCAGTCCATCCCAAAAGGCCAGAGGTTTGGTCCATTTGTTGGGGAGAAGAAAAAAAGGTCCCAGGTGACCAGCAACGTGTACATGTGGGAGGTACGTTACAGGCTGCTCCTTTTGTTCCCCAAAATACTCTCCTGCACCTTTTTCTTTACTTATCTGCATAGCTAAAACAAACCCAACTACTCCCCATAGTTTCAGAAGATCATGGAGGTGACCTACATCATCTGTAGTCACCTGTAAGAGTTGTATAATACATGAACTCAAACATATCAAATATTTTACATTTCTATGACAAATGCTGCTAATAAAAAAAAAAAAATTGTACATTTGTCCAATAGGTTTACTTCCCAGCAAGGGGCTGGATGTGTGTTGACGCCACAGACCCCGCCAAGGGGAACTGGCTGCGATACGTGAACTGGGCACGCTCTGGTGAAGAGCAGAATCTTTTCCCCCTGGAGATCAACAAAGCCATTTACTACAATGTTTTACGGGTAGGTCAAAAACATTCACGCAACCTAAACAAACGGGAGGCACGTCTGTATGAATGTTTAAAAAAAAAAAAAAAACACCTCAATGTGACGTTGTGGAGTCCCACACCACCGTGATCCACAAGCCAAATAATAAACGGTGTCAATCAAAGTGGTTGGATAGGAATTGAACCTCTTTCACCGCTGGATACAACTGGCGTGTCCTGTGATATAAGCGCATACATGCATGCGTTTGGGATCACTACCTGGGATGCATGAAGCTTTCCACCCATTACAATTCATATGAATCTTAAAAAAAAAAAGTTGTTGAATGCAACTACGTCCCTCAATAAACGTGCCATTCATGATGTGCTCTATAGGTGAATGTACTGCAGACTACGGTGAAAACACTGTCAACCCCCCCCCCCAACCTAAAACAAGATAAGATGCACAGTGGCCCAAATATCCCCCTTTGCCTCCCAGCAAGGCGAGCTGTGATTGGTGGCTGACATCATCTCTCATTGTTGCAGCCTATCGGGCCGGGCGAGGAGCTGCTGGTGTGGTACACTGTCGAAGACAACCCTGAGATAACAGCTGCACTGGAGGAAGAAAGAGCCAGCAGCCTGAGCAGGAAAACTCCACCCGGGGCGAAGCGAGGTGAGGCCTTGCTCGCGTTAACCGGTGATGCCGCGCGTGCTTCGGTTTTGATCCGCAAATGCCGCACCGAGCGGAGCCCGACAAAACAAAAAAAAGGAGAGCGACCGAAACCCTTCGCCGCTCGGGCGAAGTTGTAACAGGGGAGGTGGAGGTGGGGCAAAGTGAGGGGAGGGGGGAAGCTAACGTTAGCCGCAGCTAGAGGCGCAGGAAGGCTAGCGGTGGCTAACGGCTGCGATGTGCGGTGCTTTTCGCCACTTTCGTACCCGAGCGTAAACACGCCGCCGCGAGCAGCTTCAGCCCCGCACAGCCACCGGCGGGCCGGCTCGGACGCGTCCCACCACCCCCCCCCTCCGAAAACGAGCGGCCGGGCCACTTTTATTTTTGGTTGGGTGGGGGGGGGTCTGCTTTTCCTCCTCCTCTGGGTCCTGACGTTGTCGAGGATGTGACCTTCCCTGAGTTCCCTGGAAGCATGAAAGCCATCCATCGGTGAGCTTCTCTACTTGATGATGGCCTACCAGCTCGGCTAGCTGGCCCGCTGCCCCGTCCGACCGCGGGCTAGTTAGGGACTAAAGGTGTTGGATAACAACCTACGCTACGGAGGTCATTTGTTGCGGGGAGTTGTTTTTAGAGGGTCTTTCGCTCGGTTTTGGCTGCACAACAACCGGTTCATCGAGTTGTCAAGACTTGGGTGTTGCGTGCTAGCATGGAGCTAAACGGCTAATGGTCCCGAGAGCACGGAAATCCCAGAGTACACGAGCAGATGGCCAGCGGAGTTTGTCAATAAGTAAGAAAGTTTGTATTTCGATACGGTGGAAACGGCGTTAACTCGGCGGCCCTCCTGTATAGTGGGTCGTTATTGTGTTATAGACTTGTTAGATATCAACATGTCGTAACTTCAGACATCCTTACAACCGGATCCGCAGAAACGTCGTTTCGTCCACGTTTTAAAAACGTAGCTTTTGGTATTGATGCAAACTACAAAAACCCATTTCTTTTTTGTTTAAAGTCAGCATGGCTGCTACATGTCACAATGACTTTTTTTTTTCCAGTATGAACTTTGTACGTAGTCTTTCCATCTTATGGATCGTGTGGGTAATTCGACGCCTGACCGTGAGGAAAAGGAAAAAACACACTTTCACAATCTGCTGTCTGATCCCGTCTCCTGTCCTGCAGAAATATCAAAGTGTCCTTTTTTTTTTTACCACTAAAATGCAATAACTATTTGTTAAGGGGACATTGACATGCTTGTTATTCAGACGCTGACTCTTTATCTAACTCAAACTAAATACAGGCGGCATGTAAAATCTTTTTCTGATACCGCTAAACCGTCGTTGAAATGAGGTTAAAAACAACTAAATGTAAGTGGTATTCTGATTTTTAATTATTTTTTAGGGTTAGGTTTGTCCTCGAGCACATCTACTGCAGAGCTGTAGCTTTTGGCCGTGTACTGCAAAGTCAGCCGTGCGTGAAGTTAGTAACTATCCTCCCATCTCCGTCTCTGAATATCACGACACAATGCACGTAATCTCACCAAAAAAAGGCCAGTTCAACTATAAAAACTATTGTCTAGTTCAACAAAACACCTGCGTCCGTACTCATCCGATGACGGACCCGCAGCATGTTGCCATGGTTTGGTGGTCCGGCTCAGCCAACCTTTTTTTTAAAGGCAGTTTTAATAATGAGCTTCCAGTGAAGCCTCTTGAGTCAAGCAGTGGTTAGACATCTAAATGGATGATTCATGCAAGCCCATCATTTTGAGTACAATACAAGGCTGCACACAAGGTGAATAAAGTCAAGTGGATATTAAAGTCTTATGGACCAAGGTTTCATGGGTCCAACAAGGATATTTAACACCTGTTGGTTTCTTTAAGTAACATTAAGTCTGGGCATCCCTCCTGCTACTAGAATTGTGTTTGCCATTAAATATACAACGCCTGCTACTTAGCAGGAAATAATGTCATTATTTAAAGAAAATAATGCTCAGATGCACAATTACAATATTCTTAACATGTTACAACAATTGGTCTGATTAAAATATTCTTTTTATTGCTGCTTTGTACGAAGGAAGGTTCTACGTTGAATATCTGTGGGGGGGAAATGTACAGGATATAAACGTCAGCATATACTAATATTAGCGGTCTCATTCCCTTTGTCTTAGACCCTCATTGATCGAGATTTGTGTGTGTGTGTGTGTGTGTGTGTGTGTGTGTGTGTGCTTGCAGCCAGAAGAAGGCTGCCTGAGGGAGCCAGCCACGCTGGTTCGGGTGGATTCAAGAAAGGAAGCGTAACCAAATCTACTTTCAACGAGATGTGGGATGGAGAAGAAGGTAAGGTGACTTATTGCTGGGGATAATTCTTCACGCACTTATTTATTAACATTTCTCAGGAAGTAACTTAAATGTCTTAACCCTTTGTAGATATCCCTGGAATGCTTTGAGGAACAAGCATAACCTTATCTAAACTGTTTACAGGTCCGAAAGAGGAGGACGAGAGGCCGTCAGCCGTAGGACCCTCACAGCAACTCCAGCAAACCCTTCCCATTAGAAGCACTGAACGTAGCAGTTTAGAGGACATGTCAATAGTGATGACTCAAGGGGGAAATGGGAAAGAGGAGGATGCTGAGGATTTGGAGGCTGCCTTACAACAGCAAGCCGCTCAGCGTTTACCTGCGGCTGATTCCGTGCAAAGCAAACAGCCGGGCTCGTCGCTGACGTTCCCCGAAGAAAGCCATAAGGAGCCACGGGGGCAGGTTGAGTCGTCCTCGCTCGCGGGACAGGAACCACGGGTTGATCCCGATCCCGATCTCGACCCGGACCCGGATGGTGACCTCGAGGGCGACCCCCACGGAGAGTCGTATCCCTGCCAACACTGCGAGCGCCACTTCTCCACCAGGCAGGGTCTGGAGCGTCACATACACATCCACGCCATCACCAGCCAGCAAACGCAACTGTTCAAGTGCCGTTACTGCAGTAAATCCTTTGGCTCGCAGGTGGGGCGGAGGCGGCACGAGAGGCGGCATGAGAGCGGGCTAAAGAAAAGGCCCGGCTCTCTGGCGGGCACCGCCAGTCTGCTCAGTCCGGTGATGCTGACCGATGCTTCAAGTCCCGACTGCACCAGCCCGACGAGTCAGTGCACAGCCATAGGTTCCCAGTTTACTGGAGGACCATCTCTGCATAAGTCTGAGATGCAGAGAAAGGAGTCGGGTCCTTATGCCGACCATCCTTTTATGTTGGATGAAAACGGGGAGTCAAAGGAACTCCATCCTTGCAAGTATTGTAATAAAGCGTTTGGCACACACACAAACATGCGTCGACACCAACGTAGAATACATGAACGGCACTTATTACCAAAGGGAGTTCGCAGGAAAGGCATGCTGCTCCAGGAGGCCTCAGTGCCGAAAAAGCAGCAGCAGCCAGACGAGTCACCTAGCACCAGCCCGCCGCCAGTCTATGTGCCCAGCGCGGACACCGAAGACGAGGTGGACAGGGATGATTACGCAGTCGACATATCCAAAAACATCTCTGAGAATTTGAGCTTCTACATTGACGGCAAGATTGTGTCCACCAGTTCAGTGAGCAGCTGCGAGGTGATAGAAGTGGACTCCAGGTCTGCGGCTCTGTTCGGCCTGGACAGGGTCATCATCGGTCCAAACCAGATCAGTCAGGCGCTGAAGGCGGACGGACGGACCAGTGCGGCGAAGCAAATCTCCAGCCTCGGGCAGCCGGCTGCAAAAAGAAGAACATCCACCCCCCCATTTGTCCCCAGCCTCAAAGTCGAGACTGAGTCGGCGTCGCTCGCCGCCTCTTCGTCGTCTTCATCATCCTCTACATCTTCCTCATCCAACCTGTTAGTTGGTGGGTTGTTCCAACAAGCTGCCGACTCTTCAGCGTTTCAACGAGAGAAAACGGTTTATCTCTCACCAAAGCTCAAACAGCTCCTTCAGACACAAGACATTCAGAAGTCAACCATCGCCCTGATAACAGAAAGCCATAGATTGGCCTCGCCGCTGTCCGTCACGCAGCTTCCAGGGGCTTCGGGCAGGTTCAAAAGAAGAACGTCCTCGCCCCCTTCATCTCCGCAACTCAGTCCTGCATGTAAAACGGAGAGCTGTAAATCCGAGGCGGCGGGCTCATTCGCCCTAAAGGTGCCAAAGCTGGAAAGCCTCACTGCGTTGCCTCGTGGGAGCCTCCCGGAGAAAGAAGATGAAGACAGCCCGAACCCGTCTGACAACAATACGCACGGCCAAACCTCATCGAACAGCGGTGGAAACTCGTGCAATCAGCAGCCGTTGGATCTGTCCAACTCTGTCAGCAGGTGCCAGGACAGCTCGGTCAAGGTGCTTGGAGACTCGGCCCTTGATTTGAGCTTCCATCGGAAGAGCAACGTCGAGCCTGAATCGAAGGGAGGTCCGGCGCCGCAGCCACTGGTAAAAAAGAGAAAGCCAAACACGAGCATGCTCGAGAAGGTGCTTATGAATGATTATCTAGGTCTGCCGCCTCCAGGAGAGGAGGGCTCCTCGGCCTTAGCAAATCTGAGTTGTTACAATTCGCGCTCCCCGAGCATCGCCACGGAGTCCGCCCACCCCTCTCCCCCCTCCCTGACCCCCGTCACCATGAACCCCTCTTCGCCCGGTAACTGCAGCGTAACGTCCCCGACGCCGCCACCGCCTCTACTACCTACCATACTGTCTCCTCCGGCTATGCCCGGCTCCCCTCTTTCTCAGCCTTCAGACTCGACGTCCCAGAGACCTCTGCCCATCCTCTCGCCGAAAATGTCTCCCAGATCAGTTGAGCGCAATCCCCCGTCAGACTCCGAGGACAATTTGTCTGCCGGAGAAAACGAAGACGAGAAGCATATCTCTATGCCGCAGGACTTCCGCGACACTCCACTCAAAGATCCCGTTAAACGCTCGGCGTCGTTTAGCCCCCCTGCGCCGGCAGCGGAAGATCTGGCCGCCGCGGAAGACAACGTTTCTCTCGCCGCTAGTTCCGTCACGTTGGCAAACGGCAAAATGAACCAAAACGATGACTCGGTAACAGAGGAATCTCCTTCTGCCCTCACGCCGCAGCCAGAGTCCTCCTCCTCCTCTTCTCCTACACCCGCGTCTCATGAACCGTCCCCGTCACTGCCTTCACGGTCCTTCCCTCCGATCAAGATAAAAGAGGAGCCTCAGCCCGGCGCAGATGAGCTGCCGGGTATGAATCACGCACCGCCGGCTGGGCCGGACTCTTCGCCTCGGGAGCAACCGTCTGATAAAACCTCTGAAGCAGAGGGAGGCGACTCGACGTACTGCAAGACCTTTGTGTGCAACGTCTGCGAGGAGCCGTTCGACTCCATCAAAGAGCTCAGCGGACACATCGCGGAGCACGCTGCCGATTGGCCCTTCAAATGTGAGTTCTGCGTGCAGCTGTTTGGTGACGCTCCGGCCCTGCTGGCTCACCGGACGGCGCTGCACGGAGTGGGCAGGATTTTCGTGTGCTCAGTTTGTTCAAAGGAGTTTGCCTTCCTCTGTAACCTGGAGCAGCACCAGAAGGATTCGCATCCCGCCGAGACGTGTTCACACACCGCTGTGGAAAGTGGCAAGCTCAGGCCACAGAACTACACGGATCCGTCCAGAGCCAAAGAGGAGAGCAGTCCGTCAACACCGGCGCCGGAGACGGGCGACGACACGGCGCCGCACATCGACGCGGATTTAGCGAAAGAGGAGCCCGGCGTTAACGGTGACCACGCGGAGGAGGGGGCGGAGGATCCCAACGAGGAGCTGTACACTACAATAAAGATAATGGCCTCGGAAGGGGGGAAGCCCAAACCCCCGGACGTTCGCCTGGGCATCAACCAACACTACCCCAGCTACAAACCGCCGCCGTTTCCTTACCACAGCCGCTCCCACGCCGGCTCGGTGGCCTCGGCTACCAACTTCACCACCCACAACATCCCGCAGACCTTCAGCACCGCCATACGCTGCACCAAGTGCGGCAACAGCTTTGACAACATGCCCGAACTGCACAAGCACATTTTGGCCTGTGCCAGTGCCAGCGACAAGAAGCGCTACACGCCCAAGAAAAACCCCATCACCCTCAAGGAGATAGTGAAGAGTCCAAACGGTGTCGCGGCCCCCGCGGCGGCTGCCGCAGGCCACAGTCCTTTCCGAAGAATGGGGCAGCCGAAGAGGCTTAACTTTAACCAAGACACCAACGGGAAAACAAAAATGAGCGCCCTTAGTAAGAAGAAAAATCAGCTTGTCCAGAAGGCAATTTCACAAAAAAATAAAGCCGCCACCACTGCAAAGAAGACTCCGGTTAAAGAGGAAGAGCAGGCCTCTAACGCTTGCCCCCACTGCAGTCGCGAGTTCACCTACCCTGCAAGCCTCAGCAAACACATGGCCTTCAGCTGTCCCATGAAACCTGTGGTTAAACGGGGCAAGAAAGGCCTGGCGGAGGTGAAAAAAGAGGGGGCGTCGGCGGGGGACAAAAACCTCAAGCTCAGAAAGAAAGCCTCGGACTGTGACGCGGCGCAGACAGAGGCGGAGCCCAAACAGCTCGGAAAGACCAGGGCTCGTAGCTCCGGTGCGGCGGAGCCCGAACCCCCCCAGGCGAGCAGAGGAAAAGCCGCCGGCGCGCCGGGCAGACTGAAGAGGCCCGCCTCGTTCCCGGCATCCGTTTCTGCCAGCAAAAAAACAAAGAAGGGCCAATTTCAGTCACTACCTCCCACCCCGTCGGCCCCCGACACTCCCGGTGACGGCGCACAACACCGGCCGGCCATGAGAATGCAGCGTTTGGGCAAAGAGGCCCCTCCTAAGAGATCGGCCGAGGCCAAATCGCCGCCGCCGCCTCCACAACAACAGCTGAAGAAGGAGGAGCGGTTCTCCCTTCGAATGAGGGAGAGAGTAGGTGGTCCAGTCACCAGGAGCTTACAAATGGTCACCGCCGCTCCTTCTGTCGACGTGAAGACAGAAGAGGCGCCAATTCAGGAGCCAAAAGAGACTCAGGTGAGACGACTCGCTCACCTGTCCAGCCCACTTAATATCACAACTCTGTGAAATACCTGCCGATCTGTAATGTTGTTCTTTGTAAAGCTCTTAAATAACAATTTCCGTATCAACATCGTCCGACCCGTCGGACTAAAATCCTCCCTGTTTCATAATATCCAACAGCCGCATGAAACTGAGCCTCTGCTTCCCTTTCCTTGTCTCGTGTGTTACAGGAAGTGGTGTTGAAGTGAGCCACGTGGACCCTGTTGAGCCCCCCTGGATGTCCCGCTCGCACCTCTCAGGCAATGCTCTGGACTAATCAAGGCACTGACGGCACGGAGGTCAACCTTTTGTGTGGTGGGATTATTCACTCAAAACATGTGACATCTCTCAACTGCCTTTGCTGGATTTAAAGGAGGAAACTCTCTTTATCTTCATCTATCTTACGAACTGAACTGAGCCTCGATTTTAGCCAGCCTTGCAAAAAAAAAAAAAAAAAATTTAAACGGAAAAAGAAACTGTAAATGACAATGAGTTAATATATACAATACGAGTCATTACTTGACCCAAAACAGTAACATTAGGGCTCCGTTATGTTGAAAGCTGATATATTGCAAATGGCAATCATGTATCAGTGAGGTTTAGGGAAAGTAGTTTATTCTTTTGTTCTATATTTTTCCCATTTGGTTGTTTAGATTTTTGGATGTTTCCAGTGTCTCTTAATGCATGTGCAGAATAGAGCATAAACTAGATTAAGCCAATTCCCATGTCTCTCCCAATGGGCACCTACTTCGGTTTATACATGATTTGCAAAGTATGTATGTTTTTGATTTGAATTTCTTTAGTCGCTATATTGTAGAATATATCTTACTGGTATATTTTTGTTTGGTAAATGAAAATGCAGTAGTTTACTGCAACAATTGGTCCTCAGGAACACTGTTTATCTGTGCGGTAAGTATGTGTGTGGTCATAGACGGATGTGTGGCCTGACCGGTATTCCTTTGGATAACTCAAGTATGTCATGTTTTCACTTGGTTTCTCATATTCTTGGTTTCCCGATGTCGGCAGTTCATTTTGAGTTATGAAATCATGTTGTAGTCTCCTAAAATATTGTCGGTCTTGATAAGAATTTCTGATAACACTCTTTCAGCCCAGTGTTTCTTACAGCACTTTAAAACATCTGCCAAAATGTCTAGCTGTGTCGGTAAGATTGGCTTAATTGAACGGTGAATAATGGAACGCATTCAGACACTTTGCAGACACTGGTAATTTGCACCAAATTGGTGCAAAACATTCATCCAATCTCAAATGCTTCTTTTACAGCCACAAATAAATTGTTTTTTTCCGTTAAGAAATTTGACACAAGAAAATGACACATGATCCAACTTTCATATGCCAAAATGCATGATAATAACTCCAATCCGATGAATGCAGCCGTGTTTTGTTTTTTTCGCCCGTTGTAAGCGCTGTGAGATGTTTCATGTGTCGATTTTCCTTCAGGAGCCATATCATAGTAACCGAATGACTTTCATTCTGAGGACAAAGTCATCTTTATTTTTGTGCGTTGATAAATTTGCCTATGGAAAGCTTATTTTTAGTTCTTATTTTCCAGTGCTTATCCCACTTCTCACTCTTGACCGTATCCAGTTGTTCCACAAGCAAGGCTTAAACGCTTGTAGCATGCTTTGGGAAAGTAAATTGAACAATGTGATTTTAAAAAACTTAAAATTTTATTTCCACGTGAAACCCTCATGTTTGCCTTTCAGCATCAAGATTATGTATTCAAGGATGAACAAAGACAAAAATCCCAAATGACCTCAAGTAAAACATTGCTGTAATTGACATAATAATAATAAAAACGTTTTTCAAATTGTGGTTGAGCTTATATTGGTTTTACTTACTGGGTTCCCAATCGTGCAATCTCACGTGCGTAAAATAAATATATTGAATGGGTGGTCTGACATCGATCCGGTTCCACTTATAGTACATTACTACATGTAATGTAGTTTCACGTCATAGTTTACTGGTTTTTGTAAAAATGACTTAATGGTTGTATAGAGAGAAAATGCTCAACTGCACTCTTAAATTCCTCTCACTCCTTCAAGGCCATGTTATTCAAAGACCTTTTACTACTTGCATTTTTTATTTTAGTATGATAGACCCTGCTACTTGTAATACGGTTTTACAAATTACAATGTAGATCGGCCTCCGCTCGCAGCCTGTCAGGAAGTCGGTTCCTTATGAAAAAAAGTTTAGCTTCCATTTCTTTGAATCGGACAGCGGGCCGTCCTTCACATAAATCAGATGTGAAGTCGCTGCCTGCGCGGGTCAACAAGCTGCTACCGAGGGGCCACGGACATCGCAGGCTTGCCTCTTGCCGCGAGATCTGTTTTCTATTTCGGGAGCAGTGAACTTGTCTGAGGTTGATATGTGAGTCCTACAGCACCTTGCATTCTTACCTCTTCTATGAAGCCTCGCTCGCTAGAGGAGAATGGGGGCAAGTTGTGCAACAGTAGTTTGTCACACAGATTTAAGGATTTTCTACGGACTATTTGTCTCTCACCAGCCATAAATCACAACTGGACTGATGTGCTGTGGTTTCACTCATCACTAATGTATAATTATCCTTTTTTTTTTAATGCTTTTTTGCATCAGTACAGTTTTCTCATTTAGAAGACGAAGCATGACAAAAATGTTGCTACCGTATAATATGAATAAATACAAAACTATGAAGCTCATTGAGGTCTCACAACTTAAGTTAATTTCCAGTTTATTAATACCAAACTAATTCACAGCTACAAAGTAATTAAATGATCGTGTGGAAACCCAGAAAATTAAGTCTCTCAGAAAAAGTATTTATAATATAAGTATTAAAAAAAAAAACCCATCTCTGTGGCCATGAACTCCTAACATTCAACATGTTTTTCAAACCTAAATGAATTCACATATTTAGATGCATCCTTGCAGCTTCTCACATAAAATAGTAAATAAAACTTTGTTTAAAAAGAAAAATGTGGTGCGTTGACCTGGATAGTTCACCGAAGCCTCTGAGTCACTGCTGGTACATCCGTCACCATGAACACCTTCCAAAGTCACATGTGCATCTGCTGAGATTATTCTCGTCCGGACCCCATCCATCACGCTCAGGCAAATTAATGAGCTACGAAGCCCCAGACGCTGTGGAGCAGGACCGGGGCTTCGGGAACAAACTCCGGGCGCTGGGGCGTCTTCACACCAGGTTATCGTGCTGATGGACGGGGTTTTTGATTTAAACGCAATCTGCATGTTGGATGTGATGCACAGGCTGCATTTTTCTTTATTCAGAGGGACGGGGATACGTGTTTGTTCGCCCCCCCCCCCCAGTGCCTTGATGCCGTGGTTTATGACTGCATGTGGTTTATGGCTGCTGCGGGGGGGGGGTGGTGCTCATGCTGTCAGGGTGAAATATCACGACACTCTCTCTTGATTGTTGTGTATGGTGCCTCAGCCCTATTCATAAAAATGTAATTCCATGCAGCTCCGTGCCTGCCTCGACGAAATAAACCACTCCAGAGAGGCAGATTTAATGCGTAGAAGAGCTGCTTAAGGGGCTCTGTGTTCGATTACCCCCTTCAGGAGGTTTAGGACAAACATCTGTTTGTGGAATAGACTCAAAGTAGGGCCGGGATGCAGTATTCTATTATAATATTCCTCTACATAACTCGTTATTTTGAGTATAATGTAGTGTGTTAGCAATCTGGATTCAGTGAAAACCTCATTCGTCTCCAAATCTTTAGATTAACATGATCATGTAACTGGAAACTACAGGTTAAGAAAAGTCCTCGTGCTCTTATGGAGTAACTTAACAGCAGTTATGTTTCCCTCAGTTGAAGCATTTCAGGTCGGTTTCACCTCTGAACACACCCAGCTTCCTTGTGTGTGTAGCTGGGTGTAGAATGTGTGTGTGTGGGGGGAGGGTTTGTTCAGCCATGTGCTCTGTTAAACCTGTAACCACACCCAATAGTGATGTCACCCGGCGTTGAAGTAAACCTTTCCTGCGCTGCAGCAAGGTGAAAAGAAAAGGCTTGAGGGGGAGTTACTCTTTCAGGGATTGATAGTTGATGAAAGCATTGATAACCTTTATCGTATTACATTTTACTTGATTGAGAATATCAAGCGTTTGTATCACATGAGTCGTTATTGTTTATTTCTATGCAGCTCTAGTGTGAATGAAGCTTTAACAAAAGGTCGGCTGGAATGTAATTGATCTGGATCTGACAGAATCGCTGTTTTTTAAACAGTGCTGTTATTTGATCGCTCGCCAGTGATGATGAGGAGGGAACGACAGCTGCTCATATGACAATATACAGCCTCCAAAAGAAAGCCCACTCTGCCTCTACTTCCTGTTCAAAGAGAATGGCATCAAAGCTGATGAAGACCGAGGGGAGAACTACTCTTCTCTCCCACTTGAGAGTCAAGTTTTGTCTCAAGTCTCCTTGTTTGTAGAATGTCTGCACCCTGCGTGACCTCAATAACGCGCTGACATGCTCCTTCTGACTTTTGTGTTTCGGATCACAAACACATTTGTGTTTCGCAGTTATTCGTGTTTTCATGTCTGGCTTCTTTCTTCTCACCTGCAGAACCACCTGCTTGAGTCGGCCCACCGCCCGAGCCTTCCTGCGAGCCCCCACCGCGGCCCTCCGAGGGCCCTGCCGTTTCCTTTCAAAACAGGAGGATGTGATGCATGGATGTGAGTGTTCGGCCCCCGGTGGGCTGGCCTGGTACATCAGTGGTATGAGAGATGGCTGCATGACAATGGTCTTCCTGGCAAGGTTTTTCCTTTTTTTTTCGTTTGCGGGGAAACCCGGTGTTTAACGCAGGTGTACACACTGCAGAGGGGTTAGACAGTGCGGGGGGGTGAATAACATGTATGACCATCTGAGTCTCCATGCCAACATCAGAAGGTCATAAAATAGGCTTTCAATGCACATACATTGTATTCACTGTGTGCTGATTTGATCTCGCGAATGAATGCAGTGTGTAGAAGGTATTTGCACACATGCCAGAACTTCTCGTAGTTCCCCTTTGTCACTGCGGCTGTTGCCTACGAGGCGAGCAGGACTTTATAAGACTTCTTTTTCAGTCGAGTACGAGCTCATTTTATTTTTGTACTCAGCAGTTTTCTACAATTCCTTTTCAAAATGAAGCCTCTGGAAACCACCAGCTGCACCAGCCCTACTTTTCACTTTTTATTCAACCCTCTACTCTCTCATCCTCTTTTTTTTTCTTCTCCCCCCTCAGCACCGGGGGAAGATGAAGCACTCGAGTTTGCAAGAATCTGTTTCCCGGCAGCGGCCCGAGCTTTAAGATGGATCGGGGGGGGGATTTTGCATGGAGTAGTTGGGGAGAGTGAGAGGTGAGTGCACGTACGTGCGAGAGTGTGTGTGTGTGTGTGTGTGTGAGAGAAAGAGAGAGAGAGAGAGATGTTACTGCTGAGGCAGAGCAAACGAGAGCCGTAGAGAGGAGAGGGGGAGGAGAGTAAAGAGGGCAGAGTCACACAAATCACAGAACAACAGTCCCGTCCTGTTCCCAGAGGACAACCGCTGCTGCCTCCTCGACCCCAGTGACGGGGGGAGGATTGACTCCTACCCCTCCTGTCCCCCCTCCCTCCCACACACACTTCCACGCCTCCCTTCGTCACTGCTCTTCCCTTCAACCCCATCCTGTCTGGAGCCGCAGAGGACCGTCAGCCTGCAACAAGACGGAGCAGGAGATCAGAGCGCTGGCAGAGCCGCTGTGCCTCCGGCTCCGCTCTCTACCTGCTCACAGGCGCACGGCGGAGGGATGCTCTCGCGGGGCACACGTGCAGAGAAGTTCCCGTGGCGCGCACACACTTACGTGCTGACAGGCGGGCGGGCGGCAGGCACAACCCCTTCCATCATCCGTGCGGCGAGCGAGGTTCCGCTCATATTGTGGTGCGAGCAGCGAAAGGGGGCTGCACCTCCCTCCTCAGCAGCGGCAGCAGGACGAGTCCAGAGGCGGGCAGTCTTCCACCAGAGATCACACACCGGCTTCTGCAACTGAAGGCAAGAACCCCCCTCACCCCTCCTCCTCCCACTCAACAGAGACCTTTTCCCTCCCGCTTCTTTTTTCTATTTATTTTTTTTTTACCTCATTCCATATTTCTGTCTTGATGTGACGCAGTGTTGTTGACCTTCCCTCATCCCCCCCCCACCATCTCGTCTCTATTCCCCCTCAGCTTGTGCGAGTGGGACAACCATGGATGACACCCTCACCTGCAGCCATGCCACCTTCTCCCAGGTGTTTGGACGCCAGGGGCAGCTCATGCACGCCAGTGAGTAGCCACAATCGCACCTTCTTACAAATGATCAGCCCACCAACTGCTTTTATTTCCCGATCCACGTCTTCAATCTTATTGCTGTTTAAATGTTGCTGATGCTTAGAGGCTAAATACAAACGACGACGGCATCGTGGCTTAAACCTTCCTGGGATGCTGCTGTGACGGAGCATTTTTTTGGGGGGGCGGGGGGGGGGGGGGGGGGGGGGGGGCAGAAAAGGGAAAAACTGGGTTATTTGTAGGAGGGATGTTGGAGATGTGCGTGTTTGTGTAAAAGGGCAGAAATAGTGGTTGAGATTGCGGTTGATGTTTCTGCGAGCTCAGCGAGTTGCCGTCAGGCCGTCTGGATACATCACCTTGTGTACTCTTTCATTTCAACGAGGGAGCTACAGAAGCCTGCATCTGTCCGATAACTTCAGGCTGTTGCTCAGCTGTGAGCTGGTGGTTTGAGAACCTTTCTGCTTGTCACAGCACCCGTCCCTCGATTTGTCTCAGTGTAGAGCCAATAAGACAGACCTTTGATGAAATGCATTCATTA